CAATTAATTTTTCACGTAGGGCCACGTAGGTTTGGACAGCTTTTTTCCCATAATAAATGAAATCATCATTTAAAAACTGCATTTTGTATTTACTTGCATTATCTTTGTGTAATATTTAAATTTGTTTGATGATCTGAAACATTAAAGTGTGACAAACATGCAAAAAAAATAAGAAATCAGGAAGGGGGCCAACACTTTTTCACACCACTGTACATAGATAGATAGATGGATGGATGGATACAAAGAGATAGATAGATGGGTGGGTGGGTATGTAGACATAGATAGATAGATAGATAGATAGATAGATAGATAGATGAATACAAAGAGATAGAAAGAAAGATAGATGGGTGGGTAGACAGACAAACAGACAGACAGACAGACAGATACATACATACATACATGGATGGATGATACAAAGAGATAGAAAGATGGATACAAAGAGATAGAAAGACAGATAGATAGATACATACATACATAGATGTCATTTACTACATAATCATAACTGAATTGTTGTCAGAGCAACTATTTACACACCTAAAAAACAAAAAACAATTTACACGCCTAATATTAAAAAATACTTGAGTGTTTTCTAGGGATGTAACAATTAACCGCAAGCCGGTTGAAAATCGATTCAAATACGTGACGATTCAAATCGGTTGAGATGCTAAACAAATCTCGGGGCCGGAGTTTATATGAATGCATGTCTGAGGGGAACTTACTGTCTTTAGAAAAGTTTAGATGGTATTTTTTCTTTTCATAATGCATATTAAAGTTCATAAGTGCAGCACTGCTTTGTTTACAGCGGAAACCAGGAAACGCTTTAAGCGCCACCTGCTGGCAGAGAGTGAATCTGCGTCTCGTTCAGCTCGTCTGCTGTTTCGGTTTCACAGATATTTTTTATGCATAGTTTCACTAAACTGAAGTCAAACCATTCGGTTTTTGCTTCAGATTTCGAAATTATACAATCTAATTTAGATTAAAAGCTGCTCATGTTGCATGTATAGAGCATCTTTGTTTGGATCACGATTAAAATGCAGTGGTTGGCTCTAATTTTAAATGGAAAGAGCACAGACAAAGCCTTAGTTTGTTTAAATGAAGAGATTTATTTGATTTGTATTACTTATTTATGTGATTTGGGGCTTGTTTTAAAATTTCAATTTAGTTTTGTTATTTACATTTACATTATATTTCAATTTTGTCATTTAGCAAACGCTTTTATCCAAAGCGACTTACAGATGAGGACAGTAAAAGCAATCCAAACCAACAAAAGAGTAATTATATGCTATAAGTGCTATATTAGTATTTTATTAGTGTTATATTTCAATTTCACAGAGAAACGTGCAGAATTTTGTCCAAGCAATAATAAAAGGACACATTTAATTTATAATTTGTTTTAAATCTCATCTTGTTAAAAAAAAATCGTGAATCGAATCGTGAGTTGAGTGAATCGTTACATCCCCAGTGTTTTCAGTATTTTTTCAGTGTGTGTTATAGTGATGTGTTCCTGAGTCCAAATGCACCAGTAAAGAGTGTGTGTACGTGTTGCAGGATCTTGCAGAGTTTCTGGAGCAGATCGGGTTCGGTAAATACCTTCCCCTGCTGGAGGAGCAAGACATCGACCTGAGCATCTTCCTCACACTTACTGAGAACGACCTCAAGGAAGTTGGCATCACATGAGTCTTTGCACTTCGTTTTATTTTTCTCATTTCATTATAATTGATCACTTTATTAAAAAGTTATTTTGTGTTTTATTAAAATGTATTTTATTTTCAATTTTATTCAAATGATTTCTTAAAATATTATGATATGATGATAATGTATGTTTTTTTTTATTAAACTACTTTTCTTTTTTTTTCTTTTTTACAATTTTATCACAATTTTATTGTATTTTTTTTATTTTGTTGAAATGTATTTTATTTGTAATTTCATTAATATTATTTTAGTTTTTATTTTATTTATACTGTATTGTTATTGTATTTTTTACAATTTGTTTACCACTACTGAACTGTTATTTTTATTTTATTAAATGTTTTTTTATTTCATTAATTTTATTTATATTTAAATTGTAATTTTTTTAATTAAAATATATTATTTTATTTTTCAATCAATTAACTCTATTTATGCATTTTATTTTATTGTATTTTTATTAATACAATGTTTTTTATTTATTTTTTAATTTGAACTTTATTTTTTGGTTTATTAAAGTGTAGTATTTATTTATTTCAATAGTTGTGCTTTTTCTTTATAGTCTGTTTGGTCCTAAAAGGAAGATGACCTCAGCAATAGCTCGCTGGCACAGTAATGCACGGCCGCCCAGGGATGCGTTAGAGCAGGCGTATGCGGACCAACTGGAGGCCGAGATGCAGGAAATGGCCATTCAGCTTCATAAGGTGCTGACTGCATGACTGCCATTCACACCATCTTCACTTCATTCAGCTCTTTTGCATGTGAGGAGGATTGTAGGACTGTAGCTAAAGTCGGGGAGGGAAGAGAACCATCATTTAATTGGCACCTAGTTTGTAAAACCTTACAACCCCAAATGTTTGAAAAGTAGTGTATGTGTACATGAGACGATCAGAACTTGAATGTGAATGACTTTCTAACTGATGTGTTTATCCTTGCAGGACACTCGCTTTTACCGACGGAGGGTGAAAAACCACCCTGAACACACAGACGGCCGCAGGGACGGGCCAGAGAGAAGAGCCGTGTCACTCAAGTTCAGATGGAGATGACGGGCCGAACGAGGGCCGAAGACGACGACAGGGCGGCCGAAAATGACAAGCAGGCAAAGAGCGTCTCTCACCTGTGCTCCAGTCACATGGTACATGCATCATGAGAACTGACCAATCACAGACAGAGCTGTGTCAGACAGGGCGGAGCCAGAGGATTTAAACTTCCTGCCAGGAATTCAGTGCACACAGAAATACATGCGTGCATACTGCGAGCACAAATACTGTTTATTGCTGTACAACAAATCAAACCTCTCATTAGATTAGATTTAAAAGCAACCTATTTAAAGCCTGAGTATTGAAAGAGTTTCATTCATTAATCAAACCTCAAATGATCTTTACTCTCAATTGTTCGTCTAATCATCTTATGTTACATGTTATAAATACACTCATTCGTTTGTCAAAACCACTGTTATGCAAACTGCCATATGCAGTTCAGTTCATTCAAACAGCTTTATTGGTATGACTGTAAGTGATACAGTATGGCCAAAGCTGGGGAAATATGCAAAACAACAGAATAGTTATTATTATTACTACTACTACAACAACAACATGACAATGAACTCAAGTTAATCCATAACAAATTAGAACATTTTAAATTTAATATTTAGTTCAATCCGATGCAAAAATGTACACAGAAATTAATTCTGCTGGTGTTGCATTATTAAGATTTTATGTTATGTCCAGGTTTATGGTCATATTGTTGAAGCTAGTGTCAATTTATTATTTAAAAATTATTTTTTTACTATATCAATTTTAAATGATTTATGTTAATCCGCTAGTCTGTCAGTTATGGAAACAAAGTCTTTATTGTAATTATGTTACATAAATCGAGTCTTTTAAGGTCTGGAAATACAGTATTTAAAGCAAATATATGTAGTTGTATGTATTTTTGCGACTTCGGGGCCCCCTACAGTTAAATGAGTGGAATTCACTGTCGTAAATATATCACTATCATAATTACAGTCGTGCATTTGTTGCTGCCGTAAAGCAATCCGCCTTTTTTGCGAAATTTCGTACCGGAAGTTGCTGCCGACTTCATTTCAGTGTAGTGACGTATATTTCCTGCTGAAACTGAATATATTTATTCACCTTTTTCTTGTAAAAAT